TATTTTTAGTACCTCTAGGTACTCTGCCCCTGGGTACTATTTTTGGTACCCTTAGGTACTCTGCCCCTGGGTACTATTTTTAGTACCCTTGGGCACTCTGCCCCTGGGTACAATTTTTGGTACCCTTGGATAATCTTCCCTTGGGTACTATTTTGAGTACTCTTTGCTAATCTTCCCTTGGTAAGGGAATAAACTGTACGAGCTTTACTCAGATCGTCAGTCCTTTAATAAAGGAATTAAATTTTACGAGCTTTACTCAGCTCGTCCCTTTAGTAAGGGATTTTTATTTACTATCCCTTGTAGTGAGGGGATATTGATTACGGGATTCATTCAGCCCGGGTCCTTATAGTACATGACATTTATTTACTATCCCTTATAATATGGGGATATTGATTATGAGATTCATTCAGCCCGGGTCCTTTTAGTACAAGACATTTATTTATTATCCCTTATAATACATGGATATTGATTACGGGATTCAGTCAGCCCATCCCTTTAACAAGGGAATAAATTTTACGAATTTCACTCAGCTCATCCCTTTAGTAAGGGAATTATGTTTTATGAGCTTCACTCAGCTCGTCCCTTTAGTAAGGGAATTAATTACCACATAGGTATAATAAGTGAGGGAGATGATCGTTTTTTGACCTGACCTTTGTAGGTTAAGTCCTGATCTTTGATGACCATACTTTTGTCAGTTAGGCCCTGGTCTTGGTTTCTGATGACCAGACTTGGGGTGACCAGGTACTGATTTTAGATGACCGAGCCTTTGTAGATTTTGGGCAATCAATTCTTAATCTTGGTTGACTAGGCCTTGGTTTCGGATAACCAAGCCTTGATTTATGATAACCAAGGGTTGTACCCTTCCCGGTATGTAGAGACTTACTAGGTTATGGTTTCGGAGGATCGGGCACTGGTCTTGGACGACTAGTGCCCCCGAGGGGTCACTAAAGGAGATAGACTAGAAACCCGACTAGCTCGATGTACTAAGGTTGGTACGTTAATCTTCTAAACCTTGTTATCATATGTAGATCGACGATTGATTTCGTGTGATCCACTATTCTGCCCCCGATGATGGGATCTTGGGTGATGACCCATTCTATAAACGTTTATATAGCGGACGGGGTGCTTGGTGCTGCAACAATTTACAGTTGTCTAAAAATATTAAATTGTGTTAAAAATGATTACTGAAAATTAACCTGTCATGGATTATCAATCCAAAATTCTGCATAATCTGAAATCGATAGGCAATTCCTGCAAGGGAAGAGAGGTGACGACTGTCGTCTGGTAGGTGGAGGCTTAGTGTCCAGCGACTGACTTGATACTTGGTGGATAGGGGCGTGGTACCTAACGGCTGACAGACGACGATCTAATGGCCAGTACCTCGTTGGGTCCAATGATTGTCCTTAACTTAGGAACCTCCTTAGGAATACAGACCTCATTGGACATGGGATCTTGAGAGACATTGGACCTCCTTGGACCTGAAAGTCTTGACACATTCTTGGGTGTAGAAGGCCACCATATTGCACGAACGGATAGAGTAATGAGACTCTGTTGCTAGAGACACTCAGTAGTAGAGGCTTCACTAGTACGTAGAGACCCCCTTGTTAGTAGTGATCTTCTTAATGGGTGGAGACCTACCCATTTATGTAGGTGCAGGAGGACCAGGCCTTAGTCTTCAACGATCAGGCCTTAGTAATTGGTTGCTGCTCGATATGAGATAGAGTCTGGTCTTAGACGACCAAACCTCAGTAGTGAGGGGACCAAACATCGCTAGATGGAAAACACCACATTGGACTGCCTGGGTCGACATGTCAAATTTTGATTATTGTCATCGTACACTGGATGACATCACGCAACCCTCCGTTTTGCCCCCAGTATAATGGACGGGTAGTCAGGATGTAGAGTCCCGTCCTTATATAAGAACATGGAAACCCGTTGTCAACTGATGACTTTGGGATGGTTTCCATGATCGGAAACTTTCGTCTTGCCGTCCGAGTCAAATCGCGTTAGGATTATTATTTCTTCAGAGAACTAATCGTTCCCACAGACAGCGCCAGCTGTTGATGCCAAAATCCTCGCGACTCGGAACGACAACATTTACCTGCAAAACAAAGAGACATCACCTTAAATGGCACCGATGGGGTGCCATTCAAGGACCCTCCGATAATCAAGTTAGTACTTGTAATCGTATCACATATTAATTATGTAATATTCTGTTTAGGGGTTTTTTTCCCGTACCTTCTTTAACGGCTTGGTGCCTAATTTATGGCTGTCAATTGGAATCAAATTGGTCCCGCGGGAGATCCGCTTGTGCGAGATCTGAGGAGATCGTTTGTTGCCAGATTTGTCTGGGATATGATTTACTCCTTTGACTTTCTCAAATTGTGCCAAGGTTATCATCACCCTGATGAACCACGTCGTCATTCATTATCCTGGATAAGAAATGTCATCATTCTTATCCGATGAAAATCTTTATCTCTGATAACGAAATATGTCGAAGAGCCTTGAATGGAAGTTTCAAGTGAGCAACGCCATATCACAAGAAGCGCTACAAAAAAAAAAAAAAAAAGAAAAAAAAGGGGGGGGGGGGGGGGGGGCGGAAATGTGAAAAAAAAGGGGAAAGAGAAAATTATAATCCAAAGTTGGATTGAAAAGGGAAAGATGAAATCTTATCATCCAAAGTTGGATAGGAAAAACTTTTTACAATTCAAAGACCAAGTTGGATATTTCAAGTCCCACTTGAAAAAGGAGACAAGTCCTGTCAAACATGGGACTCGAAATAGGGGCAATTTGTAGACACTAAAATTTTAGTGGGCTTTGGTTTTGACAAATTAACCCATTAAATATGGGTCAATGTTTAATTAAGTTATTAAATTGGCCCAAACTTGGTCCATTTAAATTATTTAATTAGCCCAGCCCAGATGGTTAAATAAAAAAATAATTATTCCTAATAAAATATATTTAGAATAATTGTCTTTAAGAAAAATTATCATAATATACCCGGTCCGGCCCAGTTATGATTTTATCCTTATCAGATGATGACACGTGTCATCATCCTATGGATTCAAAAAGCCTATAAATAGAGGTCTGGAGGAAGAAGGAGATGGTACACAAATTCAGGATTCAGGAGTCCATAGACTCAAAAATTCAGATATAAATTCATAAATCTAGAAAGTCAAGAAATTCAAACACAAATTCAGAAATCAAGGTTAAGAAATTCAGACACAAATTCAGAATTCAGAAATCTAGAATTCCATAGGGAACTCTCATCCCCAACATCCAAACCCAAAAGCGGAGAACACCAAGCACATCAAATCGTGCCGTTCTTCATCCAAATTCTACGGTGATTCAAGGTCAAACTCATGCAGCCCTTGGATCCAACCAACCAAAAAGGAGATTGAATCAGAGAACCTTATTCTTTGGAATATTATTACAGAGGATTGTACTCCATCTTTATAAATTAATAAAATATTCTATTTGTTCCCAATTTTGTTTCTTATTCGCAACAACAAAATTTGTGTGTACAGAGCCTATCAATTTCACTCCCGATCTCCTCAACAAAAGCATATAACATCTAATTAAGTACATGAAAATATTGCAAAAAAGTAGTCTAAAGAAAGTTTAGAGAGAGAAAGAGGGCATATAGAGAGAGGGCACATGGAGAGAAAGAAATGAGCCCTTGAATAAATAGAGTTTTTAGAGAGAGAAAGAAATGTCCCCTTTTACATGTGTTATAGTGACTCGAAACAAAACAATTGTTAAGAGAGAAGCCAATAAACGCAATCTCTTCTCTAACAACAATCATAAAATCATACAATTTTCTATTTTTAGTTTATTCAATTTGCTTTTATTATTATATTTTTTTGTCATCGTTATTGGCTTAGTGATTAAACTGTAATATTGTTTTCGAAAACCTTAAAGTGATACGTAAAGTGGAGGTAAAAAAAAAAAAACTCAATTGATTATTGTTTCAGTTTCCTTATCATTTTTTCAAAAATCAATTGATTATTTTTTTGATAATTTTTGTCAAATAATAATTATTGTTGGTATAAAAATAATTGGACCAATTGGTAGCAAGAGAAAAATTGAATAATCAATGACTCAAATAAGAATTTTAATTTAATTCAAAAATACTTTTAGAAGCCCGACACCAAAAATATTTTTTGAAAAATATTTTCAAAACATTTTTGAAACACCAAAAAATACAAAATAAAGAAAAATTCTACAAAAAAAAGTGTTACATAAAATATTTTTACATTCAAACAAACCAGCCATAATGTCAACATATGTAAACTTGTTCTAATGTTGTGTGCGATTTTGTGGATTAGCTATCCCTGTCCGTATAATGTCCCCAAACAATATAACCAGTACCATGACTGCATTGTTATAGGCCAACATTTGGGTTGAAATATGGGCCTATATATGCATAAGGGTATGTTTGATACAATTAAAATAAAAGAAAGGATAAAATTAGTTAGGATATAAAAAAGTAAAGAAAGGAAATGAAAGAATATAGTTAATTATTTATGGTGTTTAATTGATTAATAAAAAAAAAAAGAAAAGGAAATGATAGTAGGAAAAAGAAAGTATTAAAATGAATTATTACCATACCCTTTTAAATAGATTTAACCTTTTATGAAAACAAAGATAAATTTAGCATTAATAAAATTTAATTAGAAAAACTAGTCTTTTTTTTCTCTTTTTGTTTCTATTTTTGGAAGGATAACAAAATCACCACATCTTATATAATTTATTTTCTTCCCAATCCCTCATTTTTTTTCTTTTCCTTTAATAATTCATATCAAACCAATATTTGGTTTTCCTCCATTGACCTTTCTTTTCTTTTCTTTCCAATTCCCTCCAACCCAAACTGGGCCCAAGTCTTTGAGATTGAGCCTCCATTCAGCAAAAAGGGGTAAAGCCAACTTATTGAATTAATGAAAAAAAAAACTACTGAATTAGATCGACGCCGTCGGGCAGCCACAATATATATATATATAAGATTACACACACAAAGACACTTTGGCGTGCTTTATACTTCCTATGACCTTCGTTGTTTCGCATTTTTCTTCTTCGTCAAGAAACTCAATGGCATCCGAACAAGTCCATAGACCATTATTATAATTTTTTAAAATTGCATAGCACTTGCTCTTCCAGTTCATAGAATTCGAAACTCACAGATTCAAATCAAAGAAGAAGACGACGACGACAAAGAGTAATTATGGTCCTCCCTGTTTTAAAGCTCGGAATACTCGCTGTGAGAACTGTCAGCAAACCCATCGCTAATCGCCTCAAAGAACAGGCTGGCTTCCACCCCAAGTTCCGTCGTTTGATCATTAGCATCGCCCAGGTCATCTCTCTCTCATATCTGTATTAGGTATGAATGTGTAGTTTATTTTATTTTTTTATTTTATTTTATTTTTTGGTAGAATAGCTTAATTGCTCCATCTATGATGCTGTAATTCGCTAATCATGATATCAGTATGTCAATTAATTAATTATTTATTTGTTTTTGTTAATGCCAGTATATCGATTGAGGGTTTTGGGGTTTATTTGTAAATTGGGTGGAAATTTTGGATTACATGTATCTGAAAAATGTTTTCCCTTCTGAGATAAAGAAAAAGAAAAAAGAATTGCTCTTTCAATGGATGTGACAATTACAGGCAATTACCCAAGAAAAAGAAAAAGAAAAAGAAAAATTGCTCTTTTGATGAATGTCTAATGTTCAGACAATTATTCGTGTTAAGATGACACTGGGTTGATTTTAAATTTTTACTAAGGGAATGCTTGTACATTTTGTTGAAGTTGGATGGCTCGATTGTATTTTTATTCCCTGTCATAAGATTGAAATACAAGCTATATTAAATTTCCTATATTTGAATTTTTACCCTCACTTTTTCTGTTTCTTATTGATGACAGATTTTTACTGTGAGGTGTCTGGTCCTTAATTTATGTACTTTTGTGTGTAGGTGCCCAATTGTAGAATGCCCTAGTAGGCTAGTCTCTAATGTTATTGAAAAACTTAATGAACCAAAAAGAAAAAAACAAATCAAATTCTTCCATGCACTTCTTCGTTTCTATTCAAAAGCCATCTACAGCTACAACCTTTTCTTATTTCATTGTCATGAAACTTATTCACTTAGGCCTTGCTTTTAGTCTTTGATAGGAAATAGATCCCGTAACTTTTTAAAGCTCCGCGGAGGTAAAATTGCGTCCACGTGACCCTTCCTCAGACCCCGCAATGGCAAGAGCCTCAGGCACTAGATTTGCCTTTATATTTTATTTAATATATATAATACATTTTGGGTAGGTTTTTATTTTTTTTTATTTTATTTTTTAAAAGCTTATATATATATATATATATATATATATTTAAGCTTTTAAAAAAATATATATATAAAAAAAAAAAAAAAAAAACCTACCTAAAATGTATATATGTGTTGTGTGTGTGTGTGAGCGCGCATGCTTGAGTGTAGCAACTTCCTTTCCTTGTTAAACACTTCGTTACATTGTTAATGTCACATGTGCCTTGTTCTTTATGGTATACATGCCGAGTTACATAAAAAAAGATTCTACCGCAAATCTAAATCTATACGTACAGGGGCGGAACCAGAAATATTATGGGAATGACTGATAATTATTATCCATTATAATGGTTGAGCTAAGTTAACGTTTGTCAGCTTCTACGCTGCATCAAAGAAAAGGCTACTAACAATTCATTGAAATGAAAATAGCAAACAGAAGTTGAAAGAATTTCAATTAGATTTTTTGGTGCAGCTTTCAGAAGAAAAGACAGCATGATGGCGCTCTGGGTGGCTTTAGCGCTATGAACATCGAGGCCACTGGGATTTTTCACCAACAGTTTTGTATGGTGATTGGTGCACATCACTGTTGAGCTTCTGTTTCTGGATACACAAGCCAATTGGGCAGAGGTCTTCTGCATGAGCAAGTATCTTGGTTAGAGCCCTAAGGTCTCAGAAACGTGCACTTCCCTTATGCATCCAGCCGCTAGATTTGTTATGGGTGAATTTACATATGTATGTATATGGCGTCCCCATTTCGTGCCTATTCGGCAGGGGATATAGGCAATACTTGATTCCAAAGTTGGTAGTACCTTGAATATATCTCAGCACTCTTTTCTTCTTAAGTTCCCTTTTGCCTTTTGTCCGGATTGTGCCTCTGACCTTATTATACGCCATTGTTTTATTAGTTATTCTTTGGTTTATTTTTTTATAATTTTTCTTATATTCAATTTATGTATTAGGTATGATTTTCAAGAATGATTTTTATCCCAGTTATATATATATTTTAATTTTTGTAGTTGTCCTTGGATGTGAATTCTGTATTAGTTATGGTTTTCTAGGAATGACTTTATCCCAGTTGTTTGCTTGAGCAAGTCTGTAAGCAGTTCCTGTGTATAAATGTGTAATTAAAGAACTTATGAATTAATTGTTCTTTACTTTGGATATTGGAACCAGGCGAACCATCGGCTCACGACAACAATGCAAAGACGCATCTATGGACATGCAACAGATGTTGAGATCCGCCCTTTAAATGAGGTGAAAGCTGTTCAAGCTGCTGTGGACCTTCTTGGAGAACTCTTTGTCTTCTCGGTAATCTTTAATTCTGTGTTTAATGGTTATCGAAACTTCTAGAGTTATATATGAATGACAATTCTTACAAAAAGAAAAAAGTATCACGTGCTCTCTATTTGTCATGCAGCTACAGTACACTTGCAGTAGAATGAGATCATTGCTCAGTGACCATCCTTGAAAACGTGGTTAAAGAACACTGATAATTTGCAAACTTCCCAACTATATGTAATTTCTTCATTGATATTTGTAACCCTAATACAATTATTCACAGGTACATAATAATTCACATACAAAAAGAATATCAATGCTCTTTCCTACCGTCAAGGAAAATCAACTATATGTAATTTCTTTGTTGATATTTGTAACCCTAACACAATTATTCTCAAGTACCTAATAATTCACATACAAAAAGAATATCAATGCTCTTTCGTACTCTCAAGGAAAATTCATTTCAAACCCCGAACCAGACACAAGAGGCAGTGGGGCCCACATCCCATTGTGTCTAGTTTGGGGCTTTGGCTTTTGGCCAGAATATCAATGCTCATTTCTTAGACATACACTTTATGAAATATATAGTTTACCATAAATTTTGCTTAGCACTTTCTCATTCTTGAATATTGGCCTGATTATTTCCAATGCTTTAGGTCACCTCTTAAATTGCTGATTCCTGGTGCCAAATTATTTTAGGATCCTTTTTAATTTTCTTTGCCTGGAAAGGCTGGTGATGATATGTTGGATGTTCTTGAATGTCCCAACTATTGCAGTTTTTGAGAATGAGAGTACTATGTAGATTAGTCAATTCAAAAAAATGTGTAACAGCTGAGCTGACTGTTTGGTTCAATTAGATCTTCTAATACTTGTAGGGCAACATATTTTTTGATGATTGTTGCAATAACTGGCTTGTGTACAATTATGATGTGTAGCGTGTTACATTGCACATATTTTTCTCACTGTTCATGTCCATCCAGCAGAGTCTAACCAGCTCTTACACACATTGTATATGACCCAAGGAGTGTGGCTTTGTTCTAATTTTAGTATTAGTGTTAATTTGCAATAATTTCCCATGCTGTTCAAAGAATCAGACCGGTTCCAATTGCATATTGGATTATCCATCTCTACTTAGTACTTAGACACCTAAATTTATATTTAGGTTGCTGGAGCTGTTGTTATCTTTGAAGTGCAAAGAAACGCTAGAGCAGAAGCCAAAAAGGAGGACAAATTGAAGCAAGAACTGGAGGTAATATATCAACATTTATCTTCTTTTTGTTCTACCATACCCTTGTGTATGTCAACTTTGAAGTATCGTATCCTTCTATAGTCCTGATGATACTGAAACCTGTTGTTATTAATTAGAAGTTTTTTCCACACATAGTTTGATGCACTTCCTAAATGTCACAAAGTATACTGCCTAGATGTGTTATATTTTTATTTGAGTCTGATAGGCATGGTTGATTAATAATTTGTATTGGTTGTTGATGACTCTCTTATATAATTTCCTCTTTTCTATTTGTCAGACCTTTTCAGTTCTCTTTTCTGCTTTGTGTCTTCTGTTTATGGTTATGCTTGAACTTGCTGTGTTGAACTATGTTATTGATGCAAACTCTTTCAACCTCAGCAGATGTATCAAAAAACACAAAAAAAAAACGCCAATTGCCAGTGTTTTGGCACTTGGAAATTAGTTGGAGTTCTTTGGCTTTCCCCATGGGTTGGAGATCATCATTATTAAAGACATCGAGGACCATCTCATTTTAGTTGCATTTCTGTTGCTTAAGGAAAGCTCAATAAATATTTGAAGCAACAAAAAGTTTGATTGTTTTCCCAAATATGAGTTCTTCTTCAAAAATATAATTCACATTAAAAAACTTGGAAGACATATTCTCAACGAAAAACGAGGGGAGGGGGGGACAAGATTCTCATAATTTGATTGTTCAAAGAAATTTTTTCCTTCATTAGTTTTCGCTTAAAATATTAAAACATAACATGTTTATCCATAATTGAATTCATCATCCACTTCTACAAGTTCATGTTCCTCTAAAGATGGTCCCTAGTGTGCTAAGTATACTTCTCATACCCTTGTTTTCATGGTGTTTCAGGCAATGAGACAGAGAGATGAAGAGCTGGCAAGAGAGGTGGTGCTTCTGAAGCAGAAACTTATAGAGCTTGAATACCTTGCCAGGGGACGAGGACTGGCCGGTTTTTTCAGCTTCAGACGTACTCAAGCTGAAGATACCAAGCCAGTAAAGCAGGCTTGAAACAGCCACAAGATTTTAAACCCAAATAATGCATTTACTATTTGGGTAATGCAAATAGTTATTGATTCACTGTTGCTGATTTACCAAACTCTTCACGGGGAAAGTTTTTGTCTACTTTCTTTTACCTTTGTTGCCCTTGGCAATTGATATAGTTTTCCCCGTTTTATTTATTAAAACAAGCAAATCCAAATTGAGGTCGTGCTTCTTTTTACGGAAAATAAAAAGAATGAGGAAGTTATAGTGGTTTTGATTCATGACTGAGATACATATGAGTTTGGGATTGTTATTTTTTGAATTTTAGATAAGAATGACAACACAGATTATTTGATAGTACATTTTATTGGTTTGAGTATCTCTATAATTTCTATGTAATTCTGGAATGCATCTGACACTGGGCTAAACATTGGTTGCAGGTGTGTTAATATTTTCATCTGATCATTCTTCATGGCCCAAATCTGGAATGCGTGTGAAATTGGTTCTTGAGTCTATATGTCAAATTTCATTCCTTCTAAAGACCTAAGTTTATGGGGAAAAAATTAAAAAATGTTTCAAGATTAACGTCTTATTTTGATTTAAACCCGGGTTTTGAATATGAGTAATGCTATACTGAAATTCTTTATTTTACAGCATTTGATCTGCAAACAATACTCTTATTTTGAATATAGCATTCTTTTGCATTTGCACCCACTTTGTTCCGTACGGTTCACGGTGGTAGGTGCAGGTCTGTATCAGTGTAACACTATTTGTTGCAGTAGAACATAATTAATAAAAATATTTTTTAGTGATTCAATGATTTTTATTGAATTTTTGAAGACCCTTTATATAGGAATGACCTATTATGAACTACGAGTTTGATTTGCCATTGAAATCGTAACGAATCGACCAGTTAAGCAGACCACACATGCAAATAATATGCACTAAAAATTTTAAAATTAGGTGTAGAATTCAAGTTGTCAATAAATCTGTAATGGGTGCATAAGGCGGGACATTTATCTCACGTCCCTTACATGAAAAATGATTGTTAACCAAAAATGATTTTTGGATGGAACATAAGTAATAATAATAAATCACAGAAAAGAAGAAGAAAAAGAATGATTTCGCTTTTATTCTATTTGCATCGTTAAAAGTTAATTTTACACCAAAAATGATTTGGACTTGTCATGAATGGGGGAGTAATTTTGTACAAAAATAATTCTTAGTCCTAGTCTTAGTCTTAATGAGTCATAATAAGTCCATTATTTCACAAAAGTGTTTAATCGGTCTCATTCATGGACGGATCTAGGAATTCATATGAAGGGGGGCAAATTTATATAGAGGGTTTTTTTTCTTCATAATTGTAGACACTAAAAATTTAATGGACTTTGGTGTTGACAAATTGACCCATTCAATATGGGTTTAATGTTTAATTAAATTGTTTAATTGGCCCAAACTTGGTCCACTTAAATTATTTAATTAGCCCAGCCCAGATGATTAAATGGAACGATAATTATTCCTAATAAAATATATTTGGAATAATTACTTTTAAGGATAATTATCACAATATAACCGGCCCGGCCCAATTATAATTTTATCTTTATCAGGAGATGACACGTGTCATCATCCTGTTAATCTAAGAAGCCTATAAATAGAGGCCTGGAGGAAGAAGAAGGGGGACAAAAAATTCTGCATTCAAAGATCCAGAATTCCAAAGAGAAATACAGAAGCTTTCATCCCCTACATCCAAATCCAAAGGCGAAGAACACCAAGCACATCAAATCGTGCCGTTTTTCATTAAATTCCACGGAACAACAAGCACATCAAATCGTGCCGTTCCTCACCCAAATTCCAAAACGTTCAAGAACAAACTCGTGCAGCCCTTTGATCCAACCAACAACAAAAAGGAGATCGAATCAGAGGACCATTCTTTTTGTAAAGAATATTACAGAGGATTGTACCTCAATTTCTCAAATTAATAAAATTATATTATTTGCTCCCTATTTTGTTTCTATTGCAGAATTACAAAATTTGTGTGTACAAATTTCTGGCACGCCCGGTGGGACATCATTTGCCTCTCATCTCTTTCTCCAACATCAAATCCTCAACAAATTTATCGTCAGATTCTATGACTTCCAATAAGTTTCAGACGAAGAGCAAGAATACAACCAAAGACATCGCGGTCATGACGGACAACATCAATACCATCACAAAAAGGTGGCAAGAAGGTTGTAACTTTGTCAAGTGGTACAAACACCTTTGCAATTTCAATGATGTGGAGCATGGCTAAATCATCCGTTCCTGCCAAAAGACAGAACGATGCAATGAGAGTCAATTCTGCCAAATCTGTCAAAGTAACAACTCAAACTCATACCGCCTTCATCTCGCTGGGGGCAAGGAGGAAGGATCCTACAACTTTAAAGATCGCTCCAGTCACAAGTTCAAGTTCCACCTCGCTGGGGGCAAGGAGGAAGGTTTCTACAACCTCAAAGGTTGCTCCAGTCACAAGTTCAAGGCTAGTCCACCCAAGGCCAAAGATTTTTCTGACTCCATCACTATGCCAGTCATGATGACGAGTACTACCTCGTATGAAGAGCAATCGACGACTATGGCCCGTGCAATTGAAAGATTACAACACTCTCTCAAGGAGTAAGATCTGAAAATTGCCTCGTTGACAGAAAAGTTAAAATTGCGTGACAACAATGCTGAGTCAAGCAAAAGCCGAATTTCTTATTCTAATTCCATGCTAGAGACCATTCCAATTGACGATCAAAATGACATGTCTGCTAATCTAACAATTGAAGTTGTCTCCGTCACCTCACTTTCTGTTCAACAACTTCAAAACATGATAGTGAATTGTATAAACGAACAATACAGTGGCGTTCCTCAAAGTGCTCGCATGTACTCAAAGCCTTACACCGATAGAATTGACATTTTAAAAATGCCGGTTGGGTATCAACCTCCAAAACTTCAACAATTTGACGGAAAAAGGCAATCCCAAGCAACATGTCGCACACTTTGTAGAAACTTACGGCAATGCTGGTACAAACGGAGATCTCCTTGTCAAGCAATTCATTCATTCCCTCAAAGGAAATGCATTTAATTGGTACACAGACCTCAACGCTAGAGGTATTTACAATTGGGAGCAGATGGAACGAGAATTTCTCAACTGTTTCTACAGCACTTGTCGTACTGTAAGTATGCTGGAGCTTACAAACACAAAACAGATGAAGGGTGAACCCGTGTTTAACTACATCAACCATTGGCGAGCTCTAAGTCTTGACTGCAAGGATCGTTTGTCTGAAATTTCTGCAGTTGAAGCATGTATACAAGGCATGCGTTGGGAGCTTCTTTACATCCTACAAGGGATTAAGCCTCGCACATTTGAAGAGCTTGTTACTCGAGCTCACGACATGGAACTTAGCATAAAAAATCATAGTGCTAGAGAAGATGTTCCTGATATATCCGACAACCTTCAAGAAGATGAGAGAAGTGAGTCTGAAGAAAAAGACAATATACTTCCTAACTCGGATAACGAAATAGTTTCATCTTTCATTATAAGCATCATTTCAAAAAACTTGCATCAAGAAACGCACCATGCTACAACGACTTCAACCGAAAGTGCAAAATCACAGGGGGCATTAAGTCAAGGAAACCAAGAAAAAAATCCTCAAAATGACGACGAGATAGTCCGTACCATTCAGCATAGGTTTGGATTGTCGTCTGATTCTTGTAAAGTTGAAGAAAATTATTAAATTTGAAGTGCTCCCAGATACGAGCCTAAACTGTCGATGACACTCCTTGACACGAGTTTAAACTGTCTACCTAGAAAAAAAAATCAAGAACTCCTTGATACGAGTTTAAACTGTTTCCCAAACAAAAAAATGACACTCCTTGACACGAGCTTAAACTGTCTACCTGAAAAAACAATTGACACTCCTTGATATGAGTATAAACTGTCTATCTGAAGAAGAAAAAAACAACACTCTTTGGCACGAGTATAAATTGTCCACCTGAAGGAAAAAAAAAAAAAAAAAAAAAAAATCAAAAACTCTGTGACACGAGTATAAACTTTTCGAAAAAACTCATGTCTCTATTGATGCTCCTGATCGTACGAGCTTAAACTGTACTATGTTCTTGGCCCGCATGAGCTAAAACTGTGTACGGCCCAAAAAAAAAAAAAAAATTCATACCCCTTTTGAACTACGTGATGACTTGATCCCTCGTTTGGGGGTACGTAGGCAGCTTAGAATTTCATTCTAAGTTCAGTATGATATATAAAAAAAAAAAATTCACTATTGGCCCACAAGAGTATAAACTGTGAATGGCAAAATAAACAAATCAAATTCATTACTTTGTCATAATAAAATGATATTTTATTACAAGGTATGTGGAAAAAAAAAACAACTTCTCATTAAGTAACAAAGGGAGATCCTCAATTTCAGTTTGAGCATTTTGTAACAGTTTCTCCATGAAATTCAAGGCTTTTATATCATCATCAGTGACAACGAAGGTCTCTTCGATTGAATGTTGTTCCTCCTTGAATTTTGCAATGTTAGTTTTTCTTTGGAGAATTCAGTTATTAGCTTCTTCAATGGTGGCTTTATGTCTTTCCATATAAGCATGCAAAAGTTCGATTTCTCTCTCACAATTATGCAGAGCTTCTTGAGCTGATTGAACTTGTTTCACGTCTGCACAATCTAAAGCAAGAGCTTCTTTAAGGTGAGAACCAACATCGGCTAAACGTCGGGAGCGTACTTCTTCAGATAAGGCATGATCATGCTTGAATTGAACTTTGTTATATTCTTCACCATTTTGAATATATGCATCAATTCTATGGCAGAACTTCGGAAAATCCACACATTGTTTAGAAATTTCAAGAAAGATCTCGTCAAACTTTGGTTTAAGAGATGGAATCTTTGAAAGCGTTGTACACCTCATTTTACTCTTAATGATATTCCCAAATGCTTTGGCCACCGTGTGCTTAATCTCAGAAATGGCACTCCTCGGGTTAAAAGTAGTTGCAGAGGGTGTGATTCGGTGAGATGTCTGGGCATCCCTAAGGTGATGACTCTTAGTCGATAATGCAGTAGCAGTTGCAAGAATCTCTTCAATATTCATAATCATTTGTTGGCTTTGGACGTCCTTTTCAATCAAAGAGGCTTGGGATTGTGAATGCCTCTCAAGGGACTCCACCTCTTGTAAGAGAGGGTTGTTCTCATCTTGAGTAATTGTACGGTTTCTTTTAGCTGCTAAATCAAATGCATAGGGTCCATAAGTAGATTCCCCACTTCATACATGATTAGTAACCATAACAACATCCTCTCCAAGAAAGCCTTCATTGCCTTTTGTCTGAAAAA